GAAAAGCATGGTTTAATCTACTACTAAATAGAAATTCTCTCTTTGTTTTTGTATTTGAACTCGACAATAAGTTATATAATGATGTTTTGCGGAAAAACTGGAAGCCTTTTTTTAATCACAAAAATCAGAATATGTTCATAATTATCTTTTTCTGTTACAGACAAAGCTTTAGAAATTTTCTGCATGCTCATAGGAAATAGAACAACGATCAACATGGAGCTTGAAAGATATGACAGAGTTTTACAAGATATAATGTATCTTGAGGAAATCGGACAATATCCAATTTTATATAAATATAGAATATTATGGAGAAAAGCAAAGTGCTATGAAGCTCGTGGAGAATTCAAAACGGCCGACATATATTATGATGAAGCCCTCAAATTATTAACTGAGAATAGCAATTTAACGGGAGAAGAACTCCATAATAAAATCCAAGCTCTCAAATATTGCAAGAGAAATAAAAAAGAAAAAGCTACAGCTTCGACATCAAAGTCAGGAATGTTTTCAGATATTGATGAGTTTAAGGGAAGTGAACAGTATCCTGCCGCCAGTCCATTGATTGATATAAAATTTGATGATCATTTAGGAAGACATGCAGTCGCTAAACAGGATATTTCAGTGGGAACCCTTATCGTTAAAGAAGATCCCTATGTAGCTTTGATAGACAAGGATCGCAGTTTGACTCATTGCCAAGTTTGTTTTGTATATGCTGGTGAATGTATCGTCCCTTGTTCAACATGCACAAACGTTGTCTTCTGTAGCAATGATTGTAAGAAACGAGGAGATACATCATTCCATAAAATTGAATGTCTAGTTTATCCAACCCTCATCAGCAGTTTAGATAAGTTAATGTCCTTAAGAATTCTCACTCAGAGAGGATTCGAATTTTTTGATGAGCAAAAAGATAAACTGTTGAATAACTTGGAATCGCATTACCGAGGTTTAACTAAAAAAGAAGTTTATCTTTCTGACGATTATGATAATATGATATTTTTATATAGAAATGTTGATCAACAGTCACGAGATCACATATATCTCAATAAAGCAGTATACTTGCTACGTATCTTGAAAAAAACAGACTTTTTCCCTTTCGGAACAAATGACAAAGTTCTGCGTGATGAAGAGGTCTTCATTGGACGACTAATTCTGAGACATTGTCAGTTGATGACTTGTAACGTACATGATATAAATCAACTGAGATGTTCTGATTACAACTTTGCCCGCACAAGTGCCGAAGAGAGGACACAGCGAATGGATTCCATTGGAATTGGGCTTTTTCCTACTCTCGCACTATTCAATCATGCATGTGAACCAAGTATCATACGGTGAGTCACTTCATCAATTCAATAATAAAAGGGGATAACAATTATGGGAGCATCTACTAGTTATCAAAATGACGAAAGTTTCTTTGAATTTGTCCCTGGCTATTCAATGGTGTAATCAGATTTGACCTGACCATTACATCGATAGTCATATCAAGACAAAATGGTTTAGACTTTCACGGCTGAGGTTTTCAGTGTCATTGCTTTTCGATTTTGAAAGCCTTGGATTTTTGGAATTTCTTCCTGACGTTTCACTGGCGTTAGTGGCTAGCTTCTTCAGAGGTTTAACCATCATGGCTTGTTGTCCGATGACTACCTTTTCGGCTTCGTAAAGCGTATTTATGCCTTGTTGTATTTGTTTGTATTTCTCAGTTGTATTTGTACCTGTACCTGCACTTGTACCTGCATTCGTACCTGCACTTGAACCTGGAACATTAACAATCTTGTTTTTCTTTTCTGTTGAAATTCTCCGTGTGTTTGTGGATCTCTATTGCCTCCCGTACCAGTCGGCTATGGTATCTCTGGTTGGGGGCAATTAGTTCTGTGTTTTCAAACAAAGTTATGTGGTCTCCTTCACTAAGTGTGTGTTCTGCCACAGTTGACTTGTCCGTTTGGCCTAGTCTGCAGTTCCTTTTATGCTCTTTCAGTCTTGCTCCCATGGATCGTTTGGTGGTTCCGATATATACCTTTCCACAAGTGCACGGTATGCGATAGACCCCTGCTGCTGATAATGGGTTTCTTTTGTCTTTAGCGGACCTGAGGCTTTGTTGTATCTTCCTCGTGGGTTTGAAGACTGTTTCGATGTCGTGTTTGCCCAATAGTTTTCCAATTCTGTCCGTTACCCTAGGAATAAACGGTAGATATGATTACCTGACAAGGCATAAATACGCTTTACGAAGCCTAAAAGGTAGTCATCAGACAGCAAGCCATGATGGTTAAACCTCTGAAGAAGCTAGCCACTCGCGCCAGCGAAACGTCAGGAAGAAATTTCAAAAATCCACGGCTTTCAAATTCAAAAAGCAATGACACTGAAGTCATATCAAGGTCAAGATGGCTTTTAGGGTCAATGTCATAAATACTTCAACTATTCCTGACTTTTTTTTTCTAGAATGTATTCCTTATTCCATCGTTTCCATTCTATTGAAAAACCCTATGTAACGCAAAATTCCTCACGAGAAGAACACCAGTTTAATAATCCATTCTGATTAATTATTGAGGTCACTAATTATTGAACAAAAGTACAATTCTTAAATACTAACAGTTTCCTCTTATTGAAACTGCTATGGGTCAGTACTGGGATATTAGTTCTTTGTTTTGGAAATGTCAGTGTAATCATTAGTGAAATTTTTAATGACGCTCACGCTCTTACGATTTTGATATTCACAACTTAGGGTTACTGATTATTGATGCAGATGAACTCTTTACAGGGTAAATTTTTTTGTTTCTTTATAAATACTGAGAAAAAGACTTATGAGAAATTAAGTGTCAGGTGCATAAATGAGAGTTTCATAGAAATCCCTAGTTGTTTCCAATGAAACACCCAGTCTATAAATGTGAAGTTATGATGTTTTTTTTTCAATAGTCTCGACTATGTACAATATTTATTCATGCATGTTATGTATTTTATGTTTCATTTCAAGCAATATTTTTTTGACTAGTGCAGCAAACTCTTGGATACCTTTTTATATTTGTACTGGTATATTTGTTTATAGTGAAGAATGAATAACTTTGACTTTCATCACTTAGAATATGTCACCATAGGAATATCTATGGCTACTTCTGATATCCAAGTGTGGGGTAAAATACAATCACCGGAACCTTGCTTGATCATCTTCTTGATCACCCTCTGGGGACATTCAATATTTCAACTTTTAGTAATGATAGTGAAGATCAAACTGTTTGATCTTCACTATAACTTGGTGATCGAAACACATGTCGAGGTGTTAAAATAACGGTTTGGTGTTGGGGAAAAACTCTAGTAATATTTAGAATGTTTACTATTTAAATAAATCACTACTGAATACTGCTACTAAAAACATAAAAAGAAATCATTCCATGCAACAAAACATATTTTTGTGATATAAAAATAAGTCATCATTGTCAATTTTTTTCGGTTTCCACACATTAAAATTGCATCTATTACTTTGTTAGCAACTTCATATTTCACTAAGATATGATATGGAAGCTTTAGAAATTACAAATTTATTATGGTTCCATTTCAGAATCTAAAAAGGTATTTTGGGTGGTCTATTGAAAAGTGTATATGGTTCAAGTGAATTTTTATAACACCCTGCAATTCGTCGAACATTTGGTTAGGAACAGTTGAAGTAGGGAAGGAATCTTTAGGCAAAATTCCTTTTGAAATTCTGACCATTTTATAACAGGAGCATATTTTTTTATATAACTGAACATGCCATGCAATGTCTGTTGAATGTTACAGGTACAATGATAAAGCAAGAATGTTAGTGAGAACCATAAAACCAATAAAGGCCGGAGAGATGATTTATGATAATTATGGCGTGAACTACTTATTCATGAAACTGCAAGCAAGGCAGCAAACTCTGCTGACAAACTTTTTTTTTAAATGTGCTTGCAAACCGTGCGTAGAGAAATGGCCTACGGCTTCAACTTTGGAAAGTATTGTAAGGGTTCCCTGCAAAACTGTCCACTGTGATTTCGTATTTTCTGTAACACGTAATAGAAGACAGCAATTTTGCTTGCTATGCTACAGAGAACTTCAAAATTCTGATATTAAGGAAATCACTATTCTTAAATTTTCCAATCACCCTCTTAATTTTTGCCTCTGAGTACAACGACAGTTCCTATTTGAAGTAATTCAACGACATTTTTGTCATTTTCATTATTTTAGAATGAAAATTATATTGCATATAGAATAATGCAATTGTGACAAAGTCGGGATACTAAACAAAATTTTACTTGATGTTTTTTACTAAGATGTCACATTCTGAATGAAAATATAATAATTGATACTATTTGTCCTTGAGCTATGATCCATCATCGTGAAGGATAGCCTATAGGTATCATCTAAAAATATTGCATGTATTCCTGACAGATACCTTATGGATATTTTATTTTCTAGGAAGTTTTGATGCCATGAAATCCTTCATAAAATTTATTGATTAGAATGTGACTCATGAAACAGCAGGGATCACCCTGTGTATAAGCAACGAACTTTGAACTGCTAAAAACATGTTTTTTTTACTCTTTTTGGAAAAAGTCCTTTTTGGCTTTCTACTTCTCCATTTTTATAGAAATATGTGGGAAACTTCAGGAGAATGGAATAAAGCAATTGAGTTCAGAATAAACTCAGCTGAAGTTTTCCACTTTTTGTATATGAAAATGGAGAAGTGGAAAGCCAAACAGTTTTTTTCCCAAAAACTTATCTCTTCTAAAAATATCTCCCCATACAATTTCTTTTACTCTATTAAAAAATTACTTATTTATATTCATTTTCAGGCCATCGAACTTCGTTATAAAAATGGAGACAAAATGTTGCAAAAAGAAAGATTCGATGATGCTTTGAAAGCTTATAACAGTGTGTTAGACATCAAGTATGCATACACTACACGCCCAGATCTAGACATAGTAAAGGTTCAAGAACGAATGGAGCATATTTATGCTAGGAATGGAAACGTTGCCCATTCCAATAAATAATAATTTCTATTATGATCCTAACATGCTTACTTTTTCAGGTTGATTTGTTACTTATGTTCAAAGTTTTTTCATATCAATAATGTTTCACGTTTATAAATCTTTTCCATGCTTACTTTTTCAGGTTGATTCGTTATTTATGTTCACAGTTTTTTCATAACAATAATGTTTCACGTTTATAAATCTTTTCCTTATACTTTTTGTAAGAAACTAAGTAGTTTGTGTAGTGTATTCCTTAGAAAAACTTCTTACAAGGTATTTCAAGATAATCTGTTAGCGTTACATCAAATTTTAAGAAAGAGTAGGTATGGATTTCTACTTCTCCATCTTTATACAAGATATATGGTGAACTTTCAAAGAAATCAATCAATTTAAACAACTTATTTACCATTAACAATATACATGTACATAGTTTGAATAAAAAGAAAAAATACATATGGATAAATAAATACAGAACATCCAAAGAAAGATTACCCTTGAACATGGATTGAACTCCATGGAAATTAACAAATCAATTAAAAACCCGAAATAAATACCCCCTGAACGAACAACTCGATTTATGTAGGTATCCACTCTTGAATTTATAATAGCAATCCCTAAGATCTTCAGTGTTGAATTTTATAGTTGGCACCCTTGTTAATTTAACTACCTCTCCTAGCTTACCTAAAAACTCCCGATATAACCGAGTTTTCAGATTTCACATTTTAGTTTTATACTTGATAATGGGGTAAAACCCGAAACCGGTCATCAATCACAGATATTATAGGTTAATACCTACGCATTGGGTCAATGGGTAAGGTTATATATAACGTGCTCGAAGGAAATCTTACAACTAATCTTGTTAATCATTAATCATTTGAAAAAGCTAATGTTTTAGCGAAACATGTTATGATTATTTTCAATAAAGTTAGTGGAGATCAAATCGTTTAAGTGTAGTTTGTGAAAGTAATCTTGTTAAGTTGATTCTTGAATGAAGAAAGCTTTCAATTTTATTATAGACTTTTTTCACAAAGATGTATAGATCATGCATAGAAGTTACTTTCAAATGCAAACTGGAAGAAAAAGCCCTCTCGAACAACTACTTTTATATGAACCCTGAATTATACGAAAACACTTTTCTGTATTCCATTTGTATTCCAAACATTCGTTATGAAATCGAATCAGATGTCATTCACAGGAACTACAGTACATGAAATAGATAAAATTTCACTTACATGGAACACTGTCATCTTCTTTCGAAGTAAGACACTTGTCTTATTGCTTCTTCAGAACCAATCCTGGATAACACTACAATATGGAGCACTCAATTCATTCATAACATTACGGCTTCATGTCATGGATGAGTTAAATCTACTCACGTCACAATGACAGTACGTAATGACATTCATATGCATTGTATCTGAATGTAACTTCTATGTATGAACTACCCATCTTTGTAAAGAGTTTATTTTGAAATTAATTGCTTTCTTCCTTCTATTGGAAGTTTGCCATATTTTTTATATAAAGAAGAAGTAGAAAGCCAATACATTACTTTCCTGAAAACTAATCTTTCCTAAAAATAAACCCCTTTCAATTTATCAAACTTGCAACTTTAGTTGAGTCCTCTGAAATATTGCTGCTACTTTCGTTCTTGTTCTTGGGTTGCCATACTATTATGGTGTCATCTGCAAATATGGTGAATTTGCCCTTGATGATCCTTCACAAACAATAAGAACAGAAGAGAACAAAAAACTAAACCCTGAGGAATACCACTGGTAACTGGCTGAACCATGGAGGTCTTATTGTTTACTGAGACCATTTGGGAGTGATCTGGTCAATATGAATGGAACCAGGCAACAACCCCGAAACCACACATTTCTAATTTTTGATTTCTACACTGAATATCAATGGGCAACACCCTCGTTGATGCCGAGATATATTTTCTCCAAAAAATTGAGATTCCTGAAAACCAAATTGGGGGTTATTGATAAAATGTTTTTTCTGGGAAAGGAAATCTTTTTTTAAGTGGTTCTTCCACCAGTTCACTAATAATAAATAGAAGCAATGTATGTCCAAGGTTTGATACCATATTGAAATATGGTATTTGATAATGGATTGATTATGGCAATTTTAAGACATTTTGGATATATTCTACTTGTGAACGAGATGTTAAGGGGAAGATGCATATACCAAGGATAATATATAGTGCAGTAGCAGACGAAACGTTTGCTATTTCAGATTAGATGACGACCTACTAGCCCGGATTTTGTTATCTTCAATAGTGACTCCGGCCCGGCCATGAAAGCCTAATGTTCTTAGAAATATCCCAACTGAATTGGTTAGGTGATTTTTTTCTATATATACTCCACTGGTTGAAGTGTAGTATATATATGAAGTGAATTTCGACATTTGCTAAGAAAATAATGAAAACAAAATATTTTCGCATAATTATCAATTGAGAAAGTACCATATGTACTGAAATCAGAAGAGGGTCCTTACTCTTCCGCATCTTTAACTAGGTTCAACATTATTTGCTCCTCAGGCAAACGGTACAATTGATATCAAATTCTGGAAAAGCATGGTTTAATCTACTAAATAGAAATTCTCTCTTTGTTTTTGTATTTGAACTCGACAATGATGAAATCACCTCCTTTACAATCAAGAACTTACCAAAATATTTCACAAGCTGATGGCAGATACACGCTCTGCCATCATTATTCTACTTCTCTAGAAAAATGTTATTTTCAAAGCACAAAAAATGCTTCAAAATATTATTCGATCATTCAGAGGTTCTCATTTTCACACGGTTCTCTCTAAATTAGTTAGTTACCTAGTTATATAACGACTTGAGAAATTATACCAACCATGCAATCATTACAGAAAATTTTCTGATTGATTCGACCGTTACTTGATGAAGATCCATGGTAATTTCATAAACTACACCTCACGATTTGATCAAATCGTAAGGTGTAGTTCATTGTGGAATAATAGGCTTTTTTTGGTAAATTGAATCCCAATTTCTGCAATATTTGTTTGACTCGATTTCAACAAAAATGATAAGTTATTGACTTACATCAAGTATCGGCCAATTCCATCACAAAATAAATAGGTGTGTTCCAAGTAGTTTTAAACTACCTAAGTCTATTAAAAAACCATGGATTTTCAAAGTAAAAATTGAAAGTGTGGTTCAAATATTCAAAGATATTTTTTTTTATTTCAGATGAAAATGAATTGAAATGCAGTCGAATCCACCATGCAGGATCATGAGCAACTGAATGGTACAATAGTGGTAACATTTTAATGTGACAAAGTATACAAATCAATTCAGATTTAGTTTAGATTTAGATGAATAATTTAATTCATCTCTGATCATATTTTACAATGACATTAGTCACAATACTTGCTGCGTAGATCACCACGCGCCAATAATCTGATGCTATATAACGCTATATCAACCACCAAAGGAACAAGGCCAAACCAGTTAATGCTAACAAGATTGAAAGCAGTCACAGAATCAGCTCTGGCTTTATGAAAGAGCAGAAATAGAGAAAAGTTCTAGCAGATTCGAAAGGACGGAGACAGAATGGCGTGATTAATCTGATAATCAAATACAGGAACGGTATTTTTGGTTTACTAAATAAAAAATGATAGTTACGCTATTACAGTATGAAATTAAAACCCTAATGGTTTGATGGTATATGTCTATCTCTTAGGGATAACCCACAATAACCATTTTTTTAGGAAATAAAGGTTTTGGCTTGCTTCTTCTCCATCTTGATACAAAAATATGGGAATCTTCCAAAGAAAAGAAGGTATAAAGGTAATTTTTTTTAATTGACTGTTTTATTTCTCATTTTTAATGATGATCTCCTACCACGTAGTAACGGCTACATCAATCAATTTATTGTCACGAAATTTTTCATATTCAAACCTGACAACTAACTCTGTGTTACACTTTTGAACATACTATCATTATGCAATAAAGTGATGAACTATACATATTTCTAAAACATCAAAAATTTAGGCATATAATTTTATTAACAGAACACTGGATGAAAGAAGGTGAACCAGTTCATCTGTTGAGATATGTTACCTTATCTAAAATTTTGCAGAATTCATTCTACCCATGGCGGTACAATGATTGTGGTAATTGACAGATTCCATTAACACATCATTTTATTTATTATGAAAAAACTCAACTTTCTAATTGTNTTTGAACATGATCACTTGGTGATCGAAACACGTGTCGAGGAGTACAAATTAGGAAGATTAAACTGTTTAATCAGTTTAATCTCTCCCTTGAAAATGATCACTTGGTGATCGAAAAACGTGTCGAGGTTTTAAAATAACGGTTTGGTGTTGGGATAAAACTCCAATAATATTCATTAGTACACCAAAGGTTCCAAACAGTGCATCACAAATGAAGTTTTTCTTCTCTCTCCCTTTCTCTAATCTAGAATCAGAACTAGATGTATCAAATTGTTTGAGGAACTACACCGATAATGTAGGTGATAGCATATATAAATATGGAATATATAAATCAGAAAAAAGGTTTCTTCAATCTACCAGTTGATATGATTTTGTAGGGATTCGCCAAGATACCACATTTTTATGCAGAATACTGTACAAAAATAGAAAAAGAGTATTATATTATTAGCTTAACGGTAAGATAATTTTTTTTAGTGTATCATAACTGTACCATGTTGTTGAGAAATGAAAGAATCAAGTGAATTTCAAATGATTTATTGATGTGGAAACATAAGAATATGTCAAATTACAATGAGATCCTTAATCAGCGACAGAAAAAACAAGAGATTCAAGAAAACGTGAAGGATTCAAGTAACTTCTTCATAACTGAAAAAAACATTACTAAAATTAAGGGCTGTCAATAGTGCAATAAAAATAATTTAAGTTTTGATTAGAAAACAGAATTTAAGTTTATAAAAATAACTTTTTCTTTGTCATAAAAATTACCAGAAATGAAACTAAAAACTTAATCAATGGCGTTGAATTAGAGAATGATAGGATTTAATTTAATTATAAATAATGTGATGATGTATGAATAAATACTGAACCCAGGAAAGCTAATCAATTCCTTTTTAATTAGATTTAAATTTTTTCCTAATTATCAATTTTAAAAATGTAAATTTTATTTAGTTCAAACATTACTTTCCTATTTTTGTCAATATTTTATAGCTCCTTTTTACATATAAATGCCCACATATTTTATTTTTCATTGCATGTTCAATATTTCTCTCTCTATTAACATTGTTACTGCAAGAAAAAACTAATAGTCTTTCCATAAGACAGAATACCTATTCCTTAGTGAGATGCAAAGGGAAGTTACATGAGTGATTTGATCCGAAGACAGATTGGTGTAACCATAAATATTATTTATAAGTTACCGACACGATAGTTTGTGAACTAGTAATTCTTATTAACCGCATTAATATGGATAAGATAACTCTTGCGTGAGATCTTCAGGTTCTTGTGAGAGTTCAACTTTGAACTGTAACTTGTGGCCGAATAAGTTTTCCTATTATAATATGTATAATACCAAATGCCTTCACTATCCATTCGTCCATTGCAATAGTTTTTTGAAATGTGTTTTTCCTTTCTGCATTGAATTCAAGAGTGGAAATAGGTTTTGTATACAAACGTTTAAATTTCTGCTATTCATTTTAACCTTCCAGTAGTAGCACCCGGTTTGTTTCCGCACTGTATTTTAGATTTTTTGAAAATTGCAAATAGTAGTGAAAGTTATCATGAGAAAGAAGACAGATTGAGATTTTTGTTGAAGGAGGGAAAAAGTAATGATAAGGAACTGGTCTATGATAAACATGAGGCTGAGGTATCAGATGGTAATGAAGTGGCGAATTTTATTTTTTCGCAAAAAAGTTACAAAAGGGGAACTTATTTGTTATGGTAATTAATTGATTTTTTTCCTCAAAGAGGTTATTATCATCCAGTTTTCATTGATTTTATTTTTAACTTTTTTCACTCTTTTCCTATGATACATTCCTTGGCACAGTTAAGGATTAGTCTGTAAATTCATCGATAGTCATTAAAATATGATATATGAAAATATTTTCATTGAT